TTTTCCAATGGAAGGTCTGCTTTAATGTCCTCAGGAATTGGCTCTCCATCCTTTTTTAAGAAGTTCATTCAGATCCGCTTTTTGCATGTCACCCCATGGGAGCATGCCCAGGCACAGTAGTGCACACGAATACCAGTCCAGTCCAGTCTAGGGCCAAGCTTTGACCAGACTCTTACTAAGAACTGCCCAAAGACCTCTCTGAGCTGCTGATCATTGTCATGTGGTAATGACCTGCCAAAGCCAACCAGAACCTGTCTTTCTTTCCTGGGTCAGATCCTTTGGATGTAGGGTTTTGCCTGTGCCCCTTTTAGAGAGAGTTCCCCTTCACGTACTCTTCCCCTAGCTGCCAGGATGGGAAGAGTGGAAAATTCTCTCCAAGGGAGCATTATAAAAAAAACTTGTTTTAGAATGGTTGGAGCCACTGCCAGGTTTCGATTTCTCCTCACTTCCTGTCCAGGTGACAGCCTGTTACACACCGTGTCACTAGGACAGGAAGTGAGGGGAAACTGAAACCTGGCAGTGGCTCCAACCATTCTAAAAGCAATGTTTTTTTTATGATGGTCTGTGGCTTCCTTGGAGAGAATTTTGCTCTCTTCCTGTCCTTAGTATACAAAGTTAGGGGGGCTCTTTAAGAGAGTGATTTGTCAGGCAGAGCCTTTGATTGGCAGCAACCATTTATCTCCCCCTTCCACCTGAATTGACTAAAGGGAGCCCCGAGCTGCTATTGGCCAAATATTTACCAGCTGTACATATTATGTTAGGTGGCATGCCAAGGGGGGAACCTGTGTGAAAAATTAAATGAGATCTTGGCACAGATCAGGTCCCCTTTTAACATCTCAGTGCTGCTTGAGTGGAATGATCCTTTAATAATGTACTGAAAGCTCTTTTTTTGTTTTGTTTATCCTCTGTCCATTGGAGCAGGAAAGGGGATGGTCTCGCTGAATGGACATTGTGGCCCGGTCCAGCTCCTCACTGTAGCCTACAGCACGATGGCGCCCGAAGCACTGCGCACAGACCACGGCTCTACGGAGGACGTAAGAGAAAGCGAGGCCGCGTCAGAAACGAAAGAGACCGCAAACGGCCAGTCCCAAGACCAGTCCTCTGAAAACCTCCCCCCCTCGCGTAGAAAAGGAATCCTCCTCCAGTATCGCCTGCGTGGAACGTCGCAACTGCCTGGCCACCTTCTTTCCGCCAGGGAGGGTTCCAGAGCGAACAACTGCACCCTGGAGACCAGCGAGGAGGACGGCTCCATTTATGAAATGACGGACGACCCCGACGTCTGGTTTAGGAGCCGACCGTGCGCCAGGGACGCGAATCGAAAGGAAATCACTTCGGTGGTCATCGTGTCTGGCGGACCTGGCTATCGGAACTTCAATCCTACCAACGGCAGCGGCCAACCATGTGGGGACACGGACAGCACGCTGCTAATGTGGCAGCTGCCCCTCCTCTTATAGCCTCCGGGGTTCCCTCTGCGCAGGGAAGGAGCTGACAATGCTGTTACGTTTTTGCAGTTGGGTACGAATTTCCCGGATGGCCTGCGAGGAATAGCGCCGTTCCTTGTTTGGGATTTGAACTCCTCTGAACGGGACGCAGGCATTGGGTGATAAATTATTGAACAAATTCTTACAATGCGAGGACCCCGTATAATATCCGGGCCCCTTCCTTCTTTAAAAATGACCTAATGTTAGTAGTTCAAAAGTTTATCTGTAAAGAAAAAAGTAATATTTATACTCCCCGTCCACGTCGCTGGGTCTCCTTCCAAGAAGGTTCCCGGGGAACGCAGAGCAGGAGAAATCTCACGACAAGTCCATTGCAGGAGCTTTCCCCTCCACTCCCATCCCCCCAGATTTCAGTTGCTTTGTATTCCCCCGAGGATCTCCTCAGGAGTGTGCCATCATCCTCGTCAAGGTACCGCCGATGGAAGACGCCAAGTATAGGTCCAACTTTGGTCCTTACAGGTATATTTTGGAACTACTAACATTAGGTGATCTGTAAAGGGGGAGGGGGGCCCCAAACAGTAGGAATGGGCCTTACATTTTACTGCAAGGTCCACTTTACAGGAGAAGGGAAATCCATTTGCACTTTGTCTTCCAGCGCTCCTCGTAGTCAGTACAATCTGCGGGTGTGTTGGGGTATGTTGTTGTTGTGGGACGGTTCTGGGCAGTGCTACAAATATAATTTATGGTCAAGTAAACCAAACTTGAAGGTTACTTCCATTTGTAAAAGCTACGAATACGGTTTGGAAATTGCAGTGAAAATTTCGAAATGTCTTTACCCTACATGGCTAAATGTTTGTGCACCCCGGCCATCATTATTGAGCGTCGCATTCCAAAACCATGGTCATTAATATGACGTTGGCCCCCCTTTTTGGCTATAACAGCCTCCACGCTTAAGGGAAGGCTTTCCACAAGATTTTGGAGGGCGTCTGTGGGAATTTGTGTCCATCTGTGAGGTCAGGTCCTGATGTTGGATGAGAAGACCTGGATCACTGTCTGCGTTCCAGTTCATCCCATTGGTGTTCAGTAGGGTTGAGGTCAGGGATCTGTGCAGGAAACTTGAATTCCTCTACACCAAACTGGTCACACCATGTCTTTATGGAGCTGGCTTTGTACACCTGAATCCAATAACTCCTATGGAACACCTATGTTCCATAAGGTGTTCCATAAGGTTGAGGTCAGGGCTTTGGTGTGGAGGAACTTGAGGGACCTTCACAAACTGGTCACACCATGTCTTTATGGCTCTGACGTTGTACACAGGGGACAGTCATGGTGGAATGGAAAAGGGTCTTCACCAAACTGGTCACACCATGTCTTTATGGAGCTGGCTTTGTACACAGGGGACAGGCATGGTGGAACGGAAAAGGGCCTTCACCAGATTGTTGCCACAAGGTTGGAGGAGTACAATTGTCTACAATATCTTTGTATGATGTACTATTAACAAAACCCTTCACTGGAAGCATTTGAACTCAATGATATGGGGGGGAGTACACATACCTTTTGGCCACATAGTGTACTTGTACCATATTAGCTGTCGATGAAAGCATCAAGTTTGAAGTTGAAGTGATTCCCATTATTGGCTAACTCAAGATGGGAACGATGCAAGATTTTCCTAAAACAATAACTTTTCAGAATAGTGCCTGACAAAGAAACCTTCTGTGCTTTGAAAATTGTATCAACTGCTGAGGAGATCCATCCTCTCTATAATTCCTGGTGACCATTGTCACCGGGACCGGAAGTGATGGGAGGATCCATTTATTTTTAGTTGTCTTTAGAATGGGAATAGAGACGAAATCTTCCGATAGGGACATCTGTTCTAGTAACAACCATCAGAGGGAATTCCCCTCACTTTGGAGAGAGTTCCTATCATTTCCTCTTGTGCCTAAAGGACACACATTAAAAAATAAATGTAAAACATTTTTTAACCATTGGTTACCTTTTCAAAAATGAAGTTTCAAAAATTTTGGCTTTGGATATACTTTAACATTTTGGGTTGGCCAATGAAGGGTCATAAAATACATAGTCTGCCATAGCTGACCTTTTGTTACTTGACAGGTTTACTTTAAACCCCAAAATGTTACACTTGGTATGACCCCAGCTGCCCTTTGCCTAAAGGAGATTGACCAAAGGGCAGCTTGCAGAGTCCTCCGGTAGGGTGAATGGACAGGAAACAGCCCTGACCTCCAATAACTCCAGACAGACAAAACATTTCTACATACTGTTTATCTGGAAGTGCTCATAGTAACTCTTGTTGCAAATTTGTTTTACCAGCCCCTTGGGGGGCCTATTTACTCTATTGGGCTGCATTAGTGCACAATTATGCCGCCCGTAACATTTGTTGCATTAGGGCAGCCCATTCATTTGAAAAGGCTGCTTCCCTGCACCAAAACCCACCGAAATGTGCATGTATCCTTTTTGGCAGTGCACTATGATACATGCTCGCGGTCAACAGGACAAACGAAATCTGGCATAAAAAAACTCACAGAGGATCTAATCCTCCAAAACTCTTTAATATAAGCTAATACCAGTTCAAAATATCACCTACCCCAATCCCTGAGGCCTCTGGGAGTCCTGAGCCGTGTCCGTTTTCTTGTTACCATCCTTCTAAGCCTGCCAGACAATGCTGGTCCTCATGTAATGGTTTGGAATGGGCTTTAATGGTCAGTTTTTGTGTTTTCGAGTCTTTCGGTCAGGGAATGGGGTTGGCTGTAAAAGAATGTCACCTTTCATTTTGTTGCAGAACAGGCATAAGTTTTGGCAGCATCAGTTGATAAGATGAACCCGGGACTGACCCGTTGGCAGCAATTGATAAGGTGAATCGGAAACTGATCCATTGGCAGCATCATTTGACACTTTGAATTGATAAAGATGCATCAGGCACTGACAATTCGGCAGCATTAATAGATAAGGTATATGGAGCTCTGGCAGTTCGGCAGCATCAATGGATAAGATGCATCGGAAACTGATCCATTGGCAGCATTATTTGATGAGATGTTTCAGGCACTGACACTTTGAATTGATAAGATGTATCAGGGACTGATAATTTGGCAGCATCGATTGAGGAGTTGTATTGGGCACTGGCACTAGTGGAGCATATGGTTCTGCATGGCAGTACTGGTACCTGAAATGCCAAATCTAATTTTCCCTGATCCCAACCCCCAATGGTAAACCTTAGCCCCAACACTAGTGATACCATTGCTGTAATCCCAACTTCGCTCTTAAAGGTCCAGCAAGAGTTTTTTGAGCCAAAAGTAATATAAGACAACGCAGGGAAGCGCGATGTGCAGCAACCGCTTAGGAATAATGTTCAGTCTCTGACTACAGACATTGGAATCTCATCTGCACATTGTTACTTCCCAAACCGAGTACAGGTACCCACAGACCTGAGATGACAGATACCCAGTTTGGCCAGCCAAAGCACCCAGGGGAAAGGAAGGGGGGGTCTCAATTAAACAAGTTAGACAAGTTTTAGCAGGACACCGGGGGAGGAGCGCAAGGATAAACTTGAAATAAGAACTGTCTGCATTGCTGATAGCAGCTGAACATGGCCCTTGGAGTTGGGTTGGACCATTGGTGGAATTCTCGCCGTCCTCCTTTGAGATACAGTAACGAGGATCAGTGCTGTTTGGTTACATTTGCTCAGAATGTAGCCATTAGGACTCTGCAGATTAATGAGGAAATCGCACGCCACTCGTAATGTCAACAGGGGTGCTCGCGCCTCGTTAAGAGATCGGCCATACCAACATAACGACTCCAGGAGGCGGCCACCGCTCGGGTAATCAGTATCACAAATCAGAGATTATATTGCAACGGCATCACTTTGCTGAGTGTTACTTGTTGTAAAAGGGAAGCTACAGACTGTACGAGGGATTTTATGGATATGCATAAGAAGGAGATCAGAGTGATGCACATCGTCTTATCAATGGATGCTTCTGGAAGGAAACTGGAAGGCAACTAGAGGAACGTTACAATGCAAAATTACTGATAACAACAGCATTGTGACTGCTTACATCCTTTGTAAATAGGGAAGGAAGGGAGAGAGGTGGGAAGATGGGAAGCAAGGGAGAGAGGACAGAAGGAAAGGAAGGGAGGAAGGAAAGGAGTGGAGAGAGGAAGGAGAGGAAGAAAGAAGGGGAGGGCAGGAGGAAGAAATAAGGGAGGACAGAAGGAAGGGAGAGAGGAAGAAGGAAAGGAAGGGAGAGAGGAAGAAGGAAAGAAAGGGAGAGAGGAAGAAAAAGGAAGGGAGAGAGGAAGAAAAAGGAAGGTAGAGAGGAAGAAAAAGGAAGGGAGAGAGGAAGAAGGAAAGGAAGGGAGAAAGGAAGAAGGAAAGGAAGAAGGAGAGGAAGGAAGAAGGGGAGTGCAGGAAGAAGAAATAAGGAAGAAGGGGAGGGCGGGAGGAAGGAAAGTAAGGGAGGAAGGAAGAAGGGGAGGAAGGAAAGAAAGGGAGAGGAAGGGAAGGGAGGAAGAAGAAATAGGGAAAAAGAGGAAGAAGAAAGGAAGGGAGGAAGAATGAATGGAAGGGAGAGAAGGAAAAAGGAGAGGAAGGAAAGGAAGTCAGAAAGAAGGGAGAGAACTATACATCAAACATCAGTTAAAAGTAAGGTGGGCTCTGGTTATCTGTACTCCGGTCACTAACATCTCATAGACGCCGGGCATAAAAGAATCCTTTGAACAATATTGACAATTTTAGATCTGCAGCTTTCATTGAATTAAATCCCGCTGATCCTGAAGGTTCTTGCTGAGAAATGCCATGCAGCCATTGCTGGAGTGCATATAGACAGGAAGTGACTCAGAGATCAGCAGCACTGAGATTAATTTTTTTGTACCCGATACACAACATGGAGGAAACGAAATGTCATTCCATAGGGGTCTACATGGATTTTAAAGTCAACCTGTCGGTAAAGAAGCAAGGTAGCGGGTTATTACTGATGGGTTTTATCGGTGCCAGTTATCTCCAGTATGATGCCAATGTGCCTAACTACTTCCTGCCCTGTGTGTGTTTTTAGTATTTTTTTGATAGCTTGGGGAAAAAAAGATCTATGTATACATGTTTTTGTTTTTTTTAAAGGGGAGTTGCTCACCTCCCATCCACAGCTGTAGCCATTAGGTGATTTTAAAGACTCCATCCCGAAGTGGCCTTTCAGTGTGTGATAGAACCGTCCCTTTAAAAGGACTCCACGACGCCTTTTAAACTTCCCTTCCCATGTATTCTACAAATGCCAGTTTCCCGGCTGCCATGGATTCAATCCTCGCAGTCGCTGACCCAGAACAAGTAGAACGGTAACAACTTACAAATCCCTTTTGTAGGCATAACAGCCAGAAAACTAGCATTGTGTGCAGGAGGTCAGCAATGGCGGCCCGCGTATTTCTCTTAGGAAAAGTTCGCTATAAAACAAGATGGCGCTGATCTTTGTTTGATGCCAGACGGCCGCACACAGGGTCAGATTTCCCACAAGGCCAACCAAGGCCCGGCCTCGGGGCAGCAGGCAGTAGAGGGGCAGCAGGG